TCTCCCCCATAGCCTTGTATCAATGCCCAAACCAATCCCACTGCCCCGCTCCTCATCTTGTTCTTTACTGCATATTTGAAATCGATGATTTTTTTTAAAAATTGCATTGGTCCCTGGGTGTAAGTAATCACCCTGGCCTCTCTGAGCAACGTCAAATCCCCTGTGTGCACAGTGTCCTCAGCCTGAATACTGGCAGTTGGTGTGATGGGTGAAAATGTGCTGGCGGAACCTTCTGGAAGGAATCGGTTTCACCCTGGCGTTCTGCGCAACGCCGAGCATCAGCTGGCCACTCCTTTGCTATTAGATGGGTTTCCTTGTCAGGGTCAATACGGTACATTCCAACGACCCCTCTATTCCAGTGGATACCGATTACGCTAGGCCCTTCAGGTTCACCGAGGGCCAGGGCAGTTGGTTTGAGGTAATGTAATGCCAGGGGGAGGTTATCCTGGTAATTACAGTGTGAGCACCGTTTACTAGCTTCTCTGAGTGTCAAATTACCTCCAGGCTTCCCAGAGTTCCTTTGATCCGATTTCAAGTGGGTTAGCTTGTCCAATTGGATTGTTGCTGTCTCACACTGGAGTAGAACACAGTACTTGGGTTCAGTCATGGTGACCCGTATCGGATCGGAGATGTTAATGAGCATATTTGCATACTTGCCCAGTCAATTCAATTGGACACAGTCCCATTGACTGCGTATTTAAATGGCCTACAATCAATTAGCTCAGGCACGCTAGCCAGCCCTGTTGCTGTGCGTGTGTGCGGTGAATGTTTATGGGACGTCTCCCGTTTGTCTCCTGTCTTGAATCACAGCAGTTTCTCACCCCCACCCCTTGTTTCTTTTCGGAGAGAACGTTTGACTGAGCGGCTGGAAGTCAGGAGAATAGTTCTGTCAGGCCTTGCTAAAACTGTACAAGGCCCTGTTTAGACCACAGCTCCGAACAACTCTGGGCCCTGCGTTAAAGGAAAGATAGACCAGCACTGGAGGCAAAAACAGAAATTGCTGGAAAATCTCAGCAGGTCCTATGGAGAGAAATCAGAAGTTTGCGTTTCAGGTCCAGTGACCCTTCTACAGAACATTGGTGGAAGTCCAGAAAGGGTTCACTCTGTTGATCCTGGGTATAGCAGGTCTCTCTTATGAGGAGAGGTTGAGTAGGTTGGGGCCTGAACTCATTGGAGTTTAGACGAATGAGAGGCGACCTTATTGAAACAAACAAGATTCTTAGGGGGACTTGATAGAGGAGATGTGGAGATGTGTCTCTTATGGGAGAGTCTGGGACCAGAAGGGGCATCATCTCAGAATAAGGGGTCACCCATTTAAAACAGAGATGAGAAAGAATTTCTTCTCTGAGGGGAGTGAATCTGTGCAATTCTTTACTGCAGAGGGCTCTCAGGGTTGGCTGTATTCAAGGCTGAAATAAATTTTTAACCTACAAAGAAATCAAGGGTTACGGGGAAAAGGCAGGAAAGTGGAGTTATCACGATCTTATCAGTTGGTGGTCTGGATTCAATGGGCTGAATGGCCTACTTCTGCTCCTTTATCTTATGCTGTTAGAGCAGGAGTTGATGGGGAGAGAGTTGATGGGGAGAGAGTTGATGGGGAGAAACGTTTCCACATGATGGAGGAGTTGAAAACGAGGGGCATTGCAAGCACTGGGGAACGTATTTGTTGGGGAGGTCAGAAGGGGACACCATAGCAACCAGTGGATAGACGAATCCATGGGCCTATGGTAAAACAGCACAGTTGGGCAGGGGGTTGATGGAGTTATTTACGCAGAAGCTAGCACAGAGGCTGGATAGGTCGGGATGTCTTCTCTGGAGTGTAGGCGACTGAGGGGGTGACCTTATAGAGGTCTATAATATCATGAGAGGCACAGATAAGATAGATAGCCAACAGCTTTTCCCTGTGGTAGGAGAATCTAAAACTAGAGGCCATAGGTTCAAGGTGAGAGGGGAGGGATACAAAAGGGTCCAGAGGGGCAATTATTTCACACAGAGGGTGGTGAGTATCTGGCACGAGCTGCCAGAGATAGTGGTGGAGGTGAGTACAATTTAAGACACATTTGGACAGGTACATGGATGGGATAGGCATGGAAGCATATGGACCAAATGCAGGCAAATGGGGCTAGATTAATTGTGAAAACTGGGCAGCATAGACATGTTGGGCCGAATGGCCTGCTCCCATGCTGTAAACTTTGACGACTGTATGAGATGAGGAAGGCCTGAACAGCCTTCACTGCGCTGTAACCGTTTCATGGGCAGAATTTTCCCAGTTGTCGGGGGTTTTGGGTGTGGGGAGCTGGGTGGGAATGACGGGGTAGGGGGGTGGGGGATGTGTGTGGGAATGACGTGGGGCTGGTAGGGGATGTGTGTGGGAACGACGTGGGGGGAGCGGGGGATGTGTGTGGGAATGATGGGGTGGGGAATGTGAGTGGGAATGAAGGGGTGAGGGGGAGGTGGGGGATGTGTGCGGGAATGACGGGGTGGGTGTGGGTTGGGGGGGAGGCGGAGGTCAGCCATGCTTACATGTGTACACCCAATGAGGTAACTCCCCACCAATTCGCTCACTCAGAGCTTGCAGGCAGAGAGAGCGTGGGTACCCCATCCTTTTGCAGCCTGACACCGGGTGTCCCTGTGACTGGGTATCGAGGGGAGACAGAGGGAGCTGGGGTTGATTGATTCCAATAAATGGCACGGCAGGTTCAGATGGCCGAATCCTACCCCTCGTTACGGTGGAATCAGAGGAAAGCCACTTCTGGGTCCTCAAGTCCCTCGGATGAGGTCCACATCCTTAGGGGCACACAGGCTGTGAGATGTTTTTCTCCCCCTCGTCTTTGGGTGGGGTGGGGACCACAGGGAAGAGCTGAATCAGAGCAGCCAGAGACAAGGAGAGAGGAGTAAGGGGCAACTGGCCTACACGTGACTCCAGACCCCATAGGGATGTGGTTGATACTTAACTGCCCGCCTCTCCAAAATGGCCAAGTGAGACACTCAGCTCCTGGGGCATTAGGGATGGACAGTAAACATACAGAGGCGCTCACATCTCATGAACAATTTTGTCAATAGAAAGAAAAGCTTCAATCCCAGGAGACTTTGGGGTAATGGTTGGGGGGTATAAAGCCCATCACTGATGTGTGGTGTGGGACTGGGCAGAAAAATGGCTGCCTAGAACCTTGGCAATGGATTCCCATTGAGTTGGGAAAGGAAACAGGCTTGAGGAGCCAACGGGAGTCTGTTCTGTTCTTTTAATTTTCTCTTCATACCCCACAGTGCACAACCAAACCTTCTATTTTCCATCACCAAATCACCCATGGTTTTGTTTTTTGGTCTATTAACCACCCCCCAGTGAATCACCCATCTTCTCCAATTGACTAATTTACACACCAAGCCCATTAAGGGGCTATTTTGTTCCAGCCTTCCATGGGCTAGGAGTTGTTCCAGGCTACAATTTATTGCCTGTCACTAATTGAGAAGGTGGTGGTGAGCTGTTTTACTCAGTCCTGTGTGGGGTGACCCACAATGCCCATAGGGAGGGAATTCCAGGATTTTGACCTAGCGACAGTGATATTGTTCCAAGTCAGGATGGTGAGTGGCTCGGAGGGGAACTCACAGTGTGTGTGATGCTCCCATGTATCTGCTGCACCTGCCCTTCTAGATGGTGGTGGTCATGGGTTTAGAAGACGCTATCACAATGTAGATATCCTAAATTCTACTGGTGAGCAGCTCAGATGGAACATCTATGCAGTGACAATGTGTTCGAGCGAGAGAGGGGCAATAGAAAGAAACTTAACTCAGTAGTTATCCTCTCCCCTCGGAGCTCCCTCAGTCCCTCTCCCCTCACAGCTCCCTCAGCCCCTCTCCCCTCGCAGCTCCCTCAGCCCCCCTCCCCTCGGAGCTCCCTCAGCCCCTCTCCCCTTGCAGCTCCCTCAGCCCCTCTCCCCTCGCAGCTCCCTCAGCCCCTCTC